TTCTTCTTTAGAGTAAAAGAAAAGAAAATAATATATTTAAATAAAAATAATAATAAAATAAAGAGATGAAATGACAAAACTTTTCTTCAATAAGAGAAAAAGAAAAAAACGTGAAAGTTGAAAGAGAAAAGAAGAAGGAAGGACTCATCCTTATTATTATCTCTTTCCTTTCCAATCACTCGATATTTAAAAATTTATTAAGTCATTAATTAATATAAATTTGAGTCAAATAAAACTTAATAAATAATAAAAATTTTTTTTTACGAATTTTAATAAAATTATAATTTTAAAATTTAAAATTAAAATCTTTAATTAAAATAAAAAAATTTTCTACCAACCCACCTATCCATTAATAGTATACTTATTAAATCATTAGGCTAGTACAAGTCAGTCATCCGCACTTGGCCGTGTGGCCCAGCGATTAAAACTATTGAAAAGTGTATGTCTCCCTTCTCTGTGCGGATTTAGAACCCGCCACATGACAAAACTGTTCAAAAAAGAAAAAAAAAAAAAAAAAAGAAGTCAGTCATCCAACCAGGCTTCAGCAAGTTCACATCAATCGTCCAGAGTAATGGGCCAGCCAGCCACTAGCTTTGAATGTTACAATTGAATGTATCTTTTCCGTAACACGTGGACCTGCCTGACACAGATTTGGAAACAAAAACCAAACCACTTTTCAATCAACGATTCAATGGCACAATGTGAACGGCAAGTCTGCAACTACAACCAAATTACAGAATTTATTTATGGTATCTGGTATGTGCTTATTTATAGTATTATTTATAATTAATTTTATATAAATTTTTATATAAACATTCAAATATTTGTTGAATAAATTATGAACAAATTTTTAGAGTTTGAAATGTCAAATTTCAATATTTGTTGAAGCAAGACAAAGAATTTAAGAAATGAAAGATGTTATATTCATTTGAACATTTAAAGAAACACTAATTAATAAGCAAGTAATTTGAAAATTAAAAAGCTTAGTTCTAATAGATATATGGGTTGATTAAGAGAACGAAATAAAATATATATATATGTAAATATAAGTTTAAATATTTGGTTGGATTAAAATAAACTCTTTTTTTTAAAAAAAAAAGTTTCACATAAACATTCAAATATTTTTAAAAAAATGTTTCATTTAATAAAAAATTATGCTATGCCAATGTAGCATCATTTTAACCTTAAAAAAAAAACTTAAATACTATACCAAAATAGACCCGTCCAATGAGTTGAGCCGTCAAATCAAATAATTAAATTTATAAAAATAAATATATATTTATTACATCCCACAAACCTACCTTAATTATTTTACCGAAACAAACAAATTTTATTTAAGAAAAAAAGAAAATTAAGATATA